CCCTTTAACACAGCTGACTGGGTCCTACCAGGAAAGAAGATGGGCAACCTCAGCCAGCTATCCTCTGGAGAAGACAAGTGGCTGCTTCGAAAGAAGGCCTGGGAAGTATTACTTAATTCACCTCTACAGGAAGAATATAACTTCCCCCCAGACCATTATGGCCTCCCTGCAGTTTGTGATCTCTTTGCCTGTAGGCAACTTAAAGTTGGTAAGTTGCTAAAAAGAAGTGGTTATATCGAACTCATCTACAGATGTGAAGGAATGGACAAGAGTTGAGCAGCCTTTCTGCTGATTATCACACATCATGAGCTGAGTGACTGAGGCTTGCCAAATCATTGTGTTTCTGGGTCTGACCCGTTAGCTTAGTTCTTCCTCTGCCTAATTTTGAACTAGCAAAGTGAAGTGAGTCATCAGATTATGAGTTACTGTTTAAAAGAAAAATGTTGTTTATTGATGCTGAGCTGATTCAGTTCCTTCCTTCTTACAGAAGTGTTAATTCACCCCCACACTAGAAATGCAGCATCTTTGTGGATACATCTTTTTCACAAGCCTCCAAGCCTCCTTAGATCAGGTCGTTACAAAAAGTACATCAAAACAGTCTAGTTTTAAAACTGAAATATTTCTGTAATCGAAGTGTATTGATGTATTCTAAAGCTAGTAAACTTCCCTAACATTTAATTGCCCTATAGATGCTTCTCTAGCTGTGGGTTTTCTTCTGTTAGTGGTCTGAAATAATGATTTTCCTGTTCTATTAACATATAGTGTATTTTGCACAAAAAATTAACTTGGCCAATAGTGATTACCAAAATATATATTAATAATCTTGGCAATTTTTGACATTAATTATCAAACATTTTAGATTACATGTTCTACATTATTCTTCTTCACTTGAAAGAAATTCAGCTACTGCAAATTTTTTCTTTCTTTCTGCAAATGTTATTAAAATATCCAGTGAGCTCTTTTAGAAGGGCTCCGTATTATTTCAATAGTATTTTTAAGGTAGTTCTAGCCTTTTAGAATATTCTACAGACCTGTGGGGTTCAAAAGAACCCCAGTAACAAATAAGCAAATAGGCAAAAGACATGTTGGAAATGTAGTATAGTATTTGAACCATTCACTATCATAGGGATTATCGGTGCATCCTGTGTAATGGAAGCAGAGCTTGACACCTGGTGCTTTTAACTAGGGATAAAGTCGTCCTCTCACTGTAAGCACAGCATACCTGTACCTCCAAAAGTGACATTTTAGTGAACAGGCCATTTTCAACACTTGTGCCTTGGGGTGTGTTAATTGAAGCTTTATGAAAACTACTGAGGTTTTCTCTATCTCCTTAAAGTTATGTCCGTGCTTTAAAATGTCTCTGTAGAAGAGAAGTGGGGTTTATAATGTTTTTAAATTCTCTAAGATGTATTTGCTGCTTTCCAGACTTTGAAACTATTAAGCTTCTTAACTGCCTCTTATTGAAATACTTCTGGGGAAACTTCAGGGTCTCACAATGTCATTGCCATACAGCTTCACTGCAGTTCTCTGAACCACAGCTGAAAGAGTTTTGTATTATTTTTTAATTCCCTCCCCAGATATCATACAGAACTATTACAATAAAGATGGTGGGCAAAAAACAATGTAAGGAGCCTTTCCAGTTATCTTAAGTTGCAGCTAACTCTGTAGTTTCTTTTTTGAGGCCAAATACACTGTATTTTACATTGTCAAAATATAATTTACATTAATCACTATGTTAATGAGTATGTAAAACATTATTTTGCATTGATGAATTTTGTATCTGCCTCCATTAAAAGCATAACAGCCATAAAATAATAATAATCAAATCAAAATGTTTCAACTAATTTTCAGGATTCCTGAGAATATGGCTTCATCCTACAATTTGTAAGCTAAGCACTAATAAAATACAAGAGAAATTCCCCAGCTTTACAAGATTCAGTAAGATACCTCAAAGTAGGCTATATCTAGTGTATTAGTCTGATTTCATGCTGCTGATAAAGACATACCTGAGACTGGGTAATTTATACAGGAAAAAGGGTTTAATGGACTTACAGTTCTACATGGCTGAGGAAAGCCTCACAATCATGGCAGAAGACAAGGAGGAGCAAGTCATGTCTTACATGGATGGCAGCAGGCAAAGAGAGAGCTTGTACAGGGAAACTCCTGTTTTTAAAACCATCAGTCTCATGAGACTTATTCACTATCATGAGAACAGCACAGGAAAAAGACCTGTCCCCATAATTCAATCACCTCCCACCAGGCTCCTCCCATGACACATGGGGATTGTGGGAGTTACAATTCAAGATGAGATTTGGGTAGGGACACAGCCAAACTATATCAGTTATCTTTGTATTTATAGCACAACTATTTGTTCACAGAATTAATGAATGTATGCCATAATTCTGCATGGGTCAATAACTCTACTACACTGATTACTCAGTTAATTGATGTTTATAAAATGTACATTTTTTTCTAGATTTTACAGTAATATATATTTACTTTAAGGACTTTCTTTTTAAACTGATTTCAATATATGGATATTTTCCTTCATTAAAAATTTGCTCAGCAGCAGCAGTCTGACTTGGGATATTTATCTTGAAATTGATCCAATGAATATTCTCAATTTCAATAACTACTCTGGCAAGAAAAAGCATACAGAATTTCCAAAATCAATACAGTAGATCAGTGTCTGCAGCACAGCACAATTCATACAGGCAATGCAGTGTTGTATCATGTGTTTCCATTTCTCAATGCTAATTGAAGATAAACTGTCAAATGTCATTAATCTGTTTACCACATTCCACTCCTCCTCTCCCCCAACAGAAGGCTTTATTTTCTCTTTTTCAAATAATTTCAGAAATTTTTGTAGAGCAGGATGACTTCTTAAATAAGCAACTTTTAAATAGGTTTTAAATAGGTCACCGTGAGTGAAGAGTAATAAAGAATGAATACTGAATTCATGAAGGGATTCTCTAAAGTTCTCTGTGCACTTTACTTTTTATCACTTTTCCAGTAAGATTCAGATTTCCAAATTTCCACTTTTAGGCTTAAATGTGCTTGTGAAGTCTCTATTTTTCTAAATTCCATCACCATTAAATGTTTTGATACATTCCCACTGCCACCACCCTATTTCAAATCTAGAGTTGAACTAGGAAGCTCTGAGACCAACTATGATACCTGGGTAATTTCTCATATTCTCAAAGTTCCTTCACTTACAAAATGAAAACATTAAGATCTACGTATCAGGGTCATGGTGATTATGAATGAGACAGTATGCATGAGAGAGCCTGGGACAGGGCCTCACATCAAGCAGGTGCTAATCGCCTCTAAGAAACGTTCCTCTTTTCTCTCTCCCTCCTCGGTCCTCCTTCCAGACTTCACAGCAAGACTCATCCTGAAATGTGAATGTGATCTCCTTACCCTCCTACTCAAATTCCTCCAAAAGTTCACCGTACTCTAGCACAGTGGTTCTCAAAGTGTAGTCCCCAGACCAGCAGCACCTCTTGCACTTGCCTTTCCAAACTTCCTCTAAGGAGAGTTTACTTACTATCTTCCAAACCTGCCACTCTCCCAAACCCAAGATTTAACTCATCTTTTACATCCTTCTCCCTCTATGATCTCTCTCCTATACTACTCAGCTTAAAATCTTTCCTGACGATCCCAATCTCTAGGACTTTTTCTGATCTCTAATTCCAATTATTTCTGAATACAAAGAGTCTTCATCTTACGATGGGGTTTGTGTCTGGATAAACTCACTGCAAAGTCAAAAAATCTTTAACTGAACCATTCTGTAAGTGTAGTACTGTACTAAGGTGAAAATCTGCAGAGGTCACAAACTAGTTGCACCTGGCCCACCCAGAGAAGGTGTGGGTTAACTAAATTGGTTGCAAGTAACATTAAAAATCAAGAAAAATTACGCAAAAATACAGATCTTTGGCCTGTGTTGGAGACAATCGGATCTGCGTTTGAGAGACCCACATTCCCATGTGGCAACAATCAGCTAAATGGTAAATGTTTCAAGCATTCACCAGCTCTTTCCATTCTAAATAAAGGTTTTCTTTTGACATCAAATATCTCAAATGGTGATTTACATTTCTTATGGTTATGTAACTTCATGCTTGTTTTGTCTCTCCTAATAGGATACAGACCTTAAAGTACCTGTCCCTGTCTTTGACTTTTTAAAAACCTCTTGTTACCCTGAACACAAACCAGTATTTAGTGCAAAATTATTGTAAAAGAATATTCTGAACATTGTAGACAACCGCAAAATGCTGAATAATCCACACAGTTTTTCTGGAAACTTTTGGCTTTCTACCAAGTTGGAAAAGTTTTATTAGTTTATGTTTTCCAAACATATGGATTAGGGTACAACTCTTAAGACAGATAATAAACATTTTTTATCATATTATTTTGGTTTAGGTTGTCTTTCATTTTCTAATGAGAAATACGTATGAAGACAGCATGCTCTCTGCTGAGATTTAGCCCCTGCCCGGCACAGCATGTGACAGAACCTAGATACTGTTTGTAACGTTTAGTTTGAATCCTACTTTTATATCCTCGATTTTATTTCCCGGAAAAGAGTTTTAATTTCACTCTTTGGTAGAAGTCATAATGGCTTTCTCCGGCCCGGCCTCAGGTTAACCATTCACCTGGTTTGGCAGCGACAAAAGATGAGCCACCTTAACAAAGCTGCCTTGCTGTGGCTCAAAGATAACCTGAGAAACCTAACCAAAATGAGAATTTTAAAACACTGTTTACGTACGGGGCCTCTGTTAAACCTTCCATTTGAACCCATTTGCCGACTCTTGCCTGTCCACACATATCCGCACCCCTAACATCAACATCAGGAGAATATTCGATAATACTCTCCTTTTCCTTCCCCCACCCCAAATCCTCCAGGGGGCGCCCCGGAGGACCGCGCTGGCCCCCCAGCGGGAGGGCGGCCATAGGCGGGAGCCCAGGCCCGACTCCCTAACGCCGCGCGCACTCCCCATACTCACCCTCCCGAAGTCACGGAAGTGCCGCCTGACCCCGCCCCTTCCGCCGGATCCTCCCACGCAGAAGTAGCGCCAACTGCAGGCGCGTGGGGCCCGGAGATCGCCTGGGGCCGGGTGGCGGCACGGGGCATGGTCAGGGTCCCCGCGGACGTGGCCGCGCAGTTCCGGCGTGTGGCGGAGAGCGCGTGAACGTGAAGGCCTCCCGGCTTGCGGCAGGCTGCGGAAGCTCTGCGCCGGGAAGTTCTCTGGCGGGGGGAGGGGAGGGCGGTTTACGGCCTTTAGGGTAGGTTTTGCCCTTTTTAAGGTCCACATGGACTCTTTAGCCCCCGAAGTTCGAGGGTAACTTTCGTTCCCTCCCGGCCTTCGCGACACCCTCGAGTCGGACGGAGGCCTAGTCCTGCCGTCAGCCCCAGCATCACCCCCGGAGCCCCTTCTTCCGCTCTTTGGAAACTTAAAATGTGGGGTGAGGGAGAGACGTGTTACGTTTTACAGACCGGTGAATTTAAAGACATTCAAGCTTCTCATAGTGATTTGAAGAAATGCTCAGCGTTCGGCCGAAATAGTTTTACGTTTTTAAACCATGGCATGGTTTTTAAAGGTTGAAGTTCCCACATTTTTTTTTCTCTTGAAAGGCACCCTTTCGTTTTGATTAGTATTTCTTAACGTGCACCCAAAGCCAGGACTCAGCCTCACTGCTGCAGGGATGTCCACGGGAAGTCCCGAGGGGGGAAAGGCACAAGCTTGAAATGGCATAATATTTGCTACCTCACTGCGTGGGCGGAGTGGTAACTAATTTTTAAAAAACCTCTTAGATGACGTAATAAGTAGTAAAGCCGTTGTATGCTATTATAGAATTTTTGAGAACAACTTAATCACCCAAATGTTTGCTATAATGTGATAAAGATAGCATCGATGGGCAGCAGCCAGGATCGAATTATGACAAGTAGATATGGTTATAAATGGGGGCCATGCAGTATAATTAGTATATGGAAACCAAGATGTCAGTCCTCACACAGAATTTGTGTAATGACATGCATTTGGGAGGCTTCAGGCCTTTTCAGCTATTAGATACAGGTTGATTCTTACTGAATATAGAATAATAAAAAATGAATTACTGGTCTCACCATTTTCATTATTACTATTTGGACTACTTTACTCCAAAGAGTGATTGTAGACTCAATAGTCAATGACAGAAAATTAAGCACAAGTCTAAATGAAGCCGAGGATCTAGTGGAGAGAACATAGAATCAGACCTTTCAAATCTCAGTTATTGAACACAAACAGAATGACAGTTCTTGAGACGTTTTACTTCCTTTCTTTAAACTTGGCGTTGCTCATCTGAACAATTGTTTTGGTAAGGGTTACGTTTCATGAAAGCCCAGTTTGTGCTACCTTAAAAGTGAAGAAGTTTGTTAATTTTAAAATTGAGTTAATCTTTAACCTGCTTTTCATTCTACAAACTCTAAAACACTTTCATGCATGTCACTTTTTTATTCAAAAGTTTTCTAAACAGTACAGCTTGGGGAACATATTTCCGTGGAACATTAGTCTCTTGCAAAATGTTAATAGATGCTTCATGGGAAAAAAAATTGCTAGCATTACCAGTACCGGCGAAAATATGAACCTGTCATTATGAGGCTATGGGAAATACACCTACGTAGCACTCTTGCCAAAAATGTTTAACCTGAATCTGATTGTGAGGAAACACTCGGATAAATTCAGAATGTGATTTGTTTGGACCTTTCAATAAGGTTAATGTGGAAGACAATAAAAAAAGGCAGGAGGACTGATCTACATTAAAGACAGCTGTCAACTAGATAGCCTTAAGGATTTAAAAAATTTGAACCTGGGCCGGGCGCAGTGACTCACACCTGGAATCTCAGCACTTTGGGAGGCGGAGGCGGGTGGATCACCAGGTCAAGAGATCAAAACCATCCTGGCCAACATGGTGAAACCCTATCTCTACTAAAAATACAAAAATGAACTGGGCATGGTGGCGCGTGCCTGTAGTCCTAGCTACTCCGAAGGCTGAGGCAGGAAAATCACCTGAACCTGGGAGGCAGAGGTTGCAGTGAGCCGAGATTGGGCCACTGCACTCTAGCCTGGCAACAGACAGAGACTCCAGTCTCAACAAAACAAAAAAACGGTTGTTTCAGGTGAATAGTATATGAATGTTCTTTTAACTCCTCTATAGATTTGAAAATTTTCAAAATAAATAGTTGAGGACAAATTGTAGCTAGCAATGCTGGAAACCCATTTGTGCCTCCCAGCAGGTGGCAGCAAATTAATACTCCATAAGGTACAGGAAAATCATTGCAATTTCCTTGTGTTGGTAAATGTTTTGGATGTTGCAGACTGGCTTTTTTTAGGGATAGGAGCCAAAAGAATATTGTTGCCAGATTATGGATGTTTATGTTAATTTATCAACTAGTTGGGAAAGTACTTATTGTTGTTCTTCATTGCTCATCTCTCACAGAACCAAAAGTCTATTTGTAAGCTCTTTTATTGGAATAACAGTCAAGCTCATGTTACTTCATAAACACTCTCCATAACCATTAATTGGCTAATATCTGTCAATACAACATTTCAAAGTTTATGAAATACAACTAAAGTATTCTCAGAGGGAAATTTATAGTTTTTTCATGCCTTTGTTAGAAAAGAAGAAAAAAAAATCAGTGATCTAAGTCAGGATCAGCAAACTGTGGTCTACAGGCCAAGTCCAGTGCATAGTCTTCTTTTGTACAGCCTACAAAACTCTAGAAAGACTAATTTTAAAAATAGACAAATTACCAGTATCTGGAATGAAAGAACACTAAAGATTCTACAGACATTAAAACATGGGTCTCAACCAGAGGGTTTTTTCCCCCCAAGGAACATTTGGCAATGTCCAGAGACATTTTTGGTTGTCACAGTTGGAGAGTCTGCTATCAGAAGACAGAGGCCAGGGAAACAGCTGAATATTCTGCAATGCACAGGACAGTCCCCCACAGCAGTTTGCTGGCCTGCAACGTTGATAGTGCTGAGATTGAAAAATTCTAATTAAAACCATAAAATAATATTATAAAAAAATTTATACGAATAAAATCTGATAATTTAGAATAAAAAGTTTTTGGGGCCAGGCATGGTGGCTCATGCCTGTAATCCCAGCACTTTGGGAGGCCGAGGCGGGTGGATCTCTTGAGGTCAGGAGTTTGAGACCAGCCAGGCCAACTTGGAGAAACCCCATCTCTATAAAAATACAAAAATTAGCCAGGTGTGATGGCATGCACCTGTAATCCCAGCTACTTGGTAGGCTGAGGCAGGAGAATCACTTGAACCTGGAGGCAGAAGTTGTAGTGAGTTGAGCGTGCACCACTGCACTCCAGCCTGGATGACGGCGAGACTCTGTCTCAAGAAAAAAAGTTTTTTGGAAAAAAAAAAAACTTATCAAAACACTGAAGAAGAAATAGAAAATCTGAGTACTTGTATATCTGTTACAAAATTTGAATTCATAATTTAAAAATACAAAGAAAACCATCCCCGTTAGTGAATTGTATCCAGCATTTAAATAACATACAATGTCAATTTTATATAAACTCAGAGAATAGAGGAGGAAGGAGTAACAGCAGAGCCTTCGGAAAAATCTAACAGACATTAGAGGAAAAAAAAAAAACAAACTAATGTTACTCACTAATACAGATGCAGAATTCCTATAGAAAATACTAGCAAATTGAACCCAGAAAAAAAATAAAATGCAGGGGCCAATTGTGGTTTATCCAGAATGCAAGATTTGCCCAACATTAATAAACAGTAATTTACAACATTAATAAAGGAGAAAATCTTAATAATGGCAGAAAAAGCATTTGACATAATTTATTGCCAACTCATGATAACAATCACAAAACTAGAAATAAAAGAGAACTTTATAAAGGACATCTGTGAAAGATCAATAGCTATTATGCTTAATGGTGAAATATCCAATCTTAGGATTGGGAACGAGGTAAAGCTGTCGGCTCTCATCACTTCTATTCAGAAATTCTAGACAGTACAATAAATAATTAAAATAATAAAAGATAAATATTAGAAAAGTGCAAAACTGTCTATTCACAGTGGTCTATGTAGAAAATCTGTTTTTCAAAGCTACTAAATAAATTGTGTTTTGTAGACTATCCATGTGGAAAATCTTCAACATCTACTGGATGTTGAAGTCATGGGATAAAAGCTCAGTATATACAAAAAAATACTTTATATACTAGTAAGCAGCAATTGGAAAATGACATGTTAAAATATGCCATTTATAATAGTACAGATGATCCCTGACTTAGGAGGGTTTGACTTATACGATTTTTTTTTTTACTTTATAATGATGTGAAAGTGATAGACATTCAGAATGCTCCTCAGGTTACAATGGGGTTACATTCAGATAAACCCATTGTAAGTTGAAAATATTAAGTTGAAACCCCACTACAATTTACAGTATTTTCCATTTAGGATGGGTTTATTCAGACATAACCTCATCATAAGTTGAGGAGCATCCGTATTATAAATACCTAGGAATATGTTTAATGAAAGACATGCAAGAGCTGTACTCTAAAGTGACAAAACATTGCTTAAATGAAAGAGCTAAATAAATGGAGAGATGTGCCATATTTGTGCATACTGAACATGTGCCAAGAAAGACCATATTCTGGGTTATAAATCTCAATTTATAAGGATGAAAATCATACAAAGTATTGTTCTCCAACCACAATGGAATTAGAAGTCAATAATAGGTCTTTGGAAATCTCCAAACCTCAATAATCAGAGGCGCAGATTTTCCAGACTGCTGGCCTCAAAAGTTCAGACTGATACTGAAGACATTCTTCTCTGCACAGCCAAGCCAATTGATTCACATGGGAAATAATTATGGACATATTGCCACATTCTAACCAACTGCACTAACCTGGCACTGCCCTGAGATTGGGGTATGCTGGAAGCAACTGCGGACAGCTATATACTTTATTGTACTAAAACAGAGTTACAGCATATTTAAAATTCATGAAATTG